CAGCTCCAGTCTGATATTGAGATGACTGTAGACCCTGCTGATGGCCTTACCACAGCCTTGTGAGAGGCCCTGAGCTAGAACCATCCAGCTAAGCAGCTCCCATACCACTGGAAGAAACTGGGAGAAAAAAAGTGTTTTGAGCTACTAAAATTGGGGGTGTTTTGTTATGTCACCATAGGTGACTAATGCAATTACCTTTCCTTATTACCACAAGTTTTCCTTTGCCACACTGGGCACTTTCATCTCTATCCCTATATCATCCTTGTAATTTCCCAGGACTCTCCTCATGTACCCACATAACCAGCAGTCCTCTCTGAAGCCAAACCTGGAAGTCATTAAGTCTACTTGAATCAGTCATGAAGCCGACAAGAAACAGATACTGAGCCAGATGGATAATTTGAAGAAAGTTTAGTATAGAAAGTGTTTGCGACATTGTGGATGGGGCAGAAAGTAATCAAAAGGGATACTACAGTACGCTAGGACCAGTGAAGAGGGTGCCATGTATGACCTGAGCCCAAAAAAGGCAGGCAGAGGAGCAGTCTAAAGACAGAGCTGTGTGAAGGAGACTCTTGGCAGAAGTTGAGACCTCTGGGTGCTGAGGAGTGGAATCAAAAACACCCCAGTTCATGGGCCTGGCGTGATAGCGCAGTGATTAAAGTTCTCGCCTTGCACACCCGGGATCCCATATGGGTGCCGGTTCTAATCCCAGCAGCCCCAATTCCCATCTAGCTCCCTGCTTGTGGCCTGGGAAAGCAGTTGAGGACGGCCCCAAAAATTTGGGACCCTGCACCCGCGTGGGATACCCGGAAGAGGCTCCTGACTCCTGGCTTCAGATTGGCTCAGCTCTAGCTGTTATGGCTTCTTGGGGTGTGAACCATTGGACAGAGGATCTTCCTGTCTGTTTCTCCTCCTCTCTGTAGATCTGACTTCCAATAAAAATAATAATAATAAAAAAAACCCACTCCAGTTCCTACTGGTGCCTCCATCCTAACTCAGCCTAACAAAAGCTACTGCAGTCTAGGTTTCTTCAATACAGAAAGGTAAGGTGAGGGTTTAAACGCAGATCATTTGAGAGCACCAGGGCACACCAATTGTCAAATGAGGAAATGAAGGAGGCCAAGATGCTTATGTTCTTATACTAATCATCACAATGGGGTACCAGAGTGTGGTCTTATATACAAACTTCAAGAAACAACCCTCAGAATGATTTCACCATTGGGTGAGGGAGTTGGAGCATTTGTAACCTTACATTTTTGAATGAGAGCTGTTTTGAAGGAAGAGTGTTAATTCCTGAGTGACCTTAAACTGTCAGCCTCCTAACCTGCCTTTCATGGCTCTGGGAAGAGCCCTCAGACACAGAGGTGCTGGCAACTGGAAGTGGGTAAAGTGAGTAGATCAGGCCCAAGGGACCTGGGTAGGGGTGGCAGTGCCTGCTGCATGGCCCATTGATGTGGTGCATACAGATACACCTCCCACTTGCAAAGCACAAGAGAAACGTGTGTGCAAGGGGATTCTGGAAGAACAAGTACATATTAAAACTGAATTAGTAAAAATTGACCAGTACATTCCTGGATAGCTTCCTGCCATTGATTCTCACAGTTGCTGTCCTTTCCCGTCTATCCCAGCTCTGTATCTGTCTGCCTCTGCTTGTGCCTTTTGCTTTGGGCAGTGAGCATCCCAGTTGCTCGTGTGCATCTGACAAGGTACGTCCTACTAATGAGGGTGGGGTTGAGTCCATCTCACAGAGCAGAAAACAGGCACAGAGAAGTTACAATGCAATCAGGCTAGTTGCCTTTAGAACCTGTTCTGCCTCTTTCTGGCTGAGTCCCTGTATCCCCCTTGAGCCCTGTGTTTTCTCAGGTGTTAAATAAGAGTTAATCACATTTTCAGCATAAAAATGCCAGAAGAACTAAGTGGTTTTATGCAAGTAAAACCCTTACCAAAAAAAAAAAAAATCTTCAGGAAATGATTTGTAAGGTAAATCATTCTTTTTTTTTTTTTCTTTTCTAAAAAAAAGTAATGAAGTCAAATGTTTTATTAGCTATTTTTTTTCTTGAGATCACGGTGTACTTACTTAAAAATTTTGAATGTCTGAAGTGAGCTATGCCAGTAAAAGACATTCTGTTCTCTGGTAGCTACATGACTGTGTAATAATTGACTACTTTGGAATTAAGCCATGAGAGCTGATTCAAATAATCATAAGCACACTAATGAGGCCCTGTGACTGTTACTCCACTTCAAAGCTGAAGCATGGAAACCTTCCACTTCCTTTTCTTCTGGTGTGCTCCACAGCTTGCTTTATCTAAAATGCCACATGTTCAGAAAATCCTGTCACTTTGCTTTTCTGCCCAATTTGTTAACTCAATGAAGTCTTTCAGCTATGACAAAAAAAAAAAAGTTCGAATTAAAAGAGAAATGAGCCGTGCATCTTGTTTTCAGCCTGAAAGCTAATTTCTTCTGAGAGCTAGCAAGCAAGTGGAGCTTCTGCAAGGAGTCAGAAGGTATTTTGCCCAAAAATCTGTGTAGGAAAAGAACTTGAAAATATTTCCCAGGAGGCAAGAGGAAAGAAGAGTGGCCAGTAGCCTCAGGGGACCCAGGGCCTGGCTTCTTGGAAAGAACTGAGTATTAGAGCCAAAAGGAGTCAGGACAGACGTTTGCTGCCCCCTCTATAAAACAAGACAGGGTGCTTACAGATTCAGTCTTGATGCAACACCATGCAAAACTGTAATTATCTTGATATATATATATTTTTTAACACACTGAAAGGATTTAAAGATGCAAGTAACCTCAGAGAACATCCAACTCAACTTCCTTCTTTTCTATTTTTTGAGTCTATAGACCCAGAAAGGGTAAGAAGCTACTCACTCAATCACATGGTACTCTAATGAGCCAATATGAAGCCAAGGTTGGTACCATTTAGTGCCAGGTGACTGCCTTCACATTGTGACAGTGATGCACCTACTCCCCTCAGCCTCCAGTCCCTCACCATCCCAATGGAATCCTGCTGCACCTACTCTCTGTTTGCATACCTCCAGTGTTAGGGAACTCATCACATCCTAGGAAAGCCTATTTTGTCCATTTTACGCAACTCTCTTAAAAAGAGCTTTCTTGGGGCCAGTGCTGCGGCATACTGGGTAACCACTTGTGACACTGGAATCTCAAAGGGTGCTGGTTTATGTCTCAACATTTCCACTTCCTATTGAGCTCCCTGCTAATGACCTGGGAAAAGCAGAAGATAGCCCAAGTATTTGGGCTGCTGGCGCTCATGAGACTAGCTCCTGACTGTGGCTGGGCTCAGTTCTGGCCTTTGCAGCCATCTAAGAAGTGAACCAAGGCCCGTGCAGTAGCTTGGCAGCTAAAGTCCTCACCTTGAATGTGCTGGGATCCCATATGGGGGCCGGTTCTAATCCCCCAGTGGCCCAGCTTCCTTTCCAGCTCCCTGGTTGTGGCCTGGGAAAGCAGTCGAGGATGGCCCAAAGCCTTGGCACACTGCACCCACGTGGGAGACTCAAAAGAGTTCCTGGCTTTGGACTGGCACAGCACCGGCCGTTGCAGTCACTTGGGTAGTGAATCATGGGATGGAAAATCTTTCTCTCTGACTCTCCTCCTTTCTGCATATCTGACTTTCCAATAAAAATAAATAAATCTTTAAAAAAAAAAGAGAGAGAAGTGAACCAGCAGATAGACCTTCATCTCTGTCTCTCATGCTCTCTCTGTGACTTTTAAATAATAAATCAAGCTCTAATAGAGTGTTTGAGATATATTTCTCCTTAGCTGCCAGTCTTTGGTCCTGTATCTGTACCCTCTGTCTCAGGACATGCCTTAGAGTTGTGCTTAGAGTCCCACAGCCTTTGTGAGTATCTCTGTCTTTGGATCAAATGTCCTGATTTCTTGCTATTTCTCTTCCATTCCCCATTTTAGAAGGTCTTTATTTTCTAGACATACCATCACCTAGACACAGAGTGAGGGTTAATGGTATACATTCACTTGCCTAGCCTTTGGTGCTTAAAGATTTGAACAAACACAACTGACTGTTGCTATGAAGACATTTTGATAGGATTAATGTTTCAATCAATAGACTTTCTGAGATCAGATGAGATCAGGCACATTTAGGGTATTATGGCTGTAGCCAAATCAAAAGATTTTGAATAAAGCAGATTACTTCCTCTAATGTGGTTAGACCTCATCCAATCAATTGAAGTCTTTAAGCAAAAGATGGGAGAAAACAGGGATCTCTGCCAGAGCCCATGTTTCCACAGAAGCTGGAATCATATCTCTTCCCTGGATTTCTGTTGGATAGTCTACAGATTTTGGGTTTTCCAGCCTTCACAATCATGGCAGCCAGTTCCTTAAAGTCTCTCCTTGGAACTGGCGTTGTGGCATAGTAGATTGAGCCTCCACTTACGATGACAAGCATCCCACCTGGACACCAGTTTAAGATCTGGTTTCTTCACTTCTGATTCAGCTCCCTGCTATTGTGCCAGGAAAAGCAACAGAAGATGGCCTAAGTGTTTGGGACCCTGCACCCACTTGGAAGATCTGAATGAAGCTCCCTGTTTTATGTTTTTGGCCATAAAACATAAAACCCCTGCCTCAGATGATGTGGCTACTTAGGGAGTGAACCAGCAGATGGAGGATCTTTGTATCTGTCATGTCTCCTCTCTCTCTAACTCTACCTTTCATATAAATAAATAAATCTTAAAAAAACAAATCTCTCTCCATATACACTACATATACCCCTCCTACGCGCGCGCGCACACACACACACACACACACACACACACACACACACACAATTGGTTCTGTTTCTCTGAAGAACTCTTGAATAAAAAATAAAAATTTTCCAAGTATTCAGCTTTGCACTAGGCATCTCTCATTTTCATCTTAGCATGCTATCACTCACTGATGCATTCCTTAAAGCAGTGGAGAATGTATTCTGCACCTAGGTGTTGGGCATGGAAAGGAAAATGTGCAATTAGAACTTGGAATTTGGGGATGACCTTGATGCAATCAGATCTGCGCTGAGTGGCATTGACTTCAGGCTCAGTGTTGAGACAATCCGAGGCTCGTACTCTGGCCTTCCCGTTGGCTGTGGAGACTGAAGAGAAGTCACTCAAGCCTGCTGAGTGAATGTTTCTTCACCTGAAAAAGGATGGATTTGGATTAAATGCTTTCTAATTCTCCTTTTAATTTCCTTTTCATTTGGACATGCAGCATCTCAATGTAGTGAAAATTCAGGAAGGAGATAGTTATATGGGTATCTACTTCAGGGTCCAGGATTAAACACCTGTATGAATATATCATTTTTAAATACTTTGCTAGTCACATGCTCTTTCACAATCCCATTTTATCCTCTCCAAAATCCTTAAGACAATACATAGGTTTTACATGCATTCTCTAAAGGTGAATGACTTCCCTTTTTTCTCATGGTTCCCAGCGTTCACTGAGGTTGCTGGTTCACTAGAAAGTGGACTTCCTTACTCTCTCATTAGCATAATGCTGGGACCCTGCAAGCCAAAGAGGAAGTACTAGACCAGTTTCCTGGGAGAGAGTTGTATTTCTGCTTCCACACCAGAAGTGTACCTCTTGTTCCTTCATGGTTGCATGATGAGACCTCATTAACTAAAGTTTATTTTCACACGTTGAACTCCTTGGATGGCTTTGTTTCCATATTTATCCAACATATCCTGATAAAGAAGAGGATATATTCTTTTTTTTTTTTTAAAGATTTACTTATTTTTATTGCAAAGTCAGATACACAGAGAGAAGAGACAGAGAAGAGTTTCCGTCTGATGACTCACTCCTCAAGTGACCGCAACGGCCAATGCTGCACCGATCCAAAGCCAGGAGCCTGGAATTTCCTCCAGGTCTCCCATGCAGGTGTGGGAACCCAAGGCCTTGACCTGTCCTCATCTGCTTTCCCAGGCCATAAGCTGGGAGCTGGATGGGAAGCTGGGCCACTGGGGGATTAGAACCGGTGCCCATATGGGATCCCAGTGAGTTCAAGGCGAGGACTTTAGCCACTAGGTCCCAGCACCAGGCCCAAGGGTATATTCTTTGAATAGACATCCAGGGACTCAGTAAAAGTTTTGAATTCTGATGGGGTCATTGGGAACAAGATATCACTTAAGATTACTTTATTTCAATTTGCATAAGCATAGTTTACTAAATTGAGGGCTAACAAGAATGCAAACTATACCAAAAACAGAGCGGGGGGGGGGGCGATAGAAATAATTTCTATCAGAAAACATCAGGAACTTTACATCAGAAAACAGATCAGAACAATACAATTTACCAAAACAATCAGGTTGAATTTCCTTCATTGACTTACTAGGCTGCAATTTCTTCTTGGCTTTCAAAACTTGGATCTTCAATGTACATCTATGTTCATTCACTTCTGGATTAAGAGTCCTGGAAAATTTGATTCAGTCCTGTGGTTCACTCTCTCGCTGTTTGCTTGGGGTTGCAGTGTCAGCTTATGCTGAGAAGAGCAGTTCTATGAATGTATTCCAGTGAAGAGGACCTGGTATGGTTGTTTCCAGCAAGGTACTGGTCCTGTCTTTGGTTAATATGCTTTAGCTTATAGCAGGAAGACTCTAACAGTGTATTGACACTCTTGATAAAAGATAAGAGCTACAACCTGTCATTGTTTCCCGGCAAGCACCTTTATATCTTTTACAAAGAAATCTGTCACTCACTGGTTTACTTCCCAAATAGCCTCAATGGCCAGGGCTGAGCCAGGCTGAGCCAGGCTGAAGCTAGGAGCCAGGAGCTTTATCTGGGCCTCACATCTGGGTGCAGGGATTCTTCTGCTTTCCCAGGCACATAATAAGGAGCTGGATTGGAAGTGGAGGAGCTGGTATTTCAACTGGTATACATATGGAATGTTTGTGCTGCAGACAGTAGATTAACAAACACTTCTACAATGCTGACCTCCTATACTTTTCTCTTATGCTAATGGTGATTCTTATTTGAAAAGTATTTTAAAGTTGTTTTTCCAAGCTCATCTTCTGAATTAGAAAAATGTCACCATTCATGAGTTTTTATAGGTCAAACCATAACCAAGAGGATGAGAAATCAGCACACTGTGCAGTTATTTTCCTTAGCTACATATCTCCTACTTGGGTAGATTACACAGAAACTAAAAATAACTTTTACTGTCTCTTGTTAAGAACAAAGTGAATATTTTAAGACTAGTTTGTCAATTTCTATCATTTAAGATTTCATTATTTGAAAGATAGTGGGAGTGAGAGAGCACTTTATTCCACTGATTGACTTTCCAAATTGTTGCAATAGCAAGGTTAGCATCAGGCTAAATCCAGGAACCAAGTCTCTGTTCTAGTCTCCCATATATGTGGCAGGGGTGCAAGTTTTGAGCCATCTTCTACTGCTTTTTCTGGTGCATTAGCAGGGAGCTGGATTAGAAGTAAGGACTCATAATTGTATGTGCACATTCACGTTTCTTTGTGATGTCAGTTCTCTGTACAGTCCCAGTCATCCACATAAATCACCAACAACCCTGGATGTTGTAGGCGTTTGGTGAGTGAGCCAGGAGATGGAAGATTTCCTCCCCTCTGCCTTTCAAGATGAAAATAAATCAATAAGCATGGAAAAAGAGAGGCAAAAGTGTGTTGTGTGCACAGTGGGTTGTGGTTGATGTTTTTCCATTCTCTTTTAGAATTATCCAGGCAGCTAAAGATCATTAATTAATTTATTTGATTTAGTATCATTCCAAATTCTCCAGCGCCTTGGAAATCATGTATAAGCTGATTACAAAGTAACATAATTATTAATGATATAAAAATTTGAGGAAATTTGAGTTAACTACAATCTCCTTGATAAAGCACTTTCTGTCACTCCATCACATCATCTTGCATTCTTCCTGGTTTCTCAAGCTGATATCATCTTGTTTATTTATTTATTTACACATTATGAATATTTTCCCACTAGATGGAAACGTAATCAAGAAAGGAGATTTATCTTCTTCCTGGAATAACTTCACATGAAGGAGTGCAGGAATAAAATATTCAGTTATAATACCTACATTAGGGAGAAGGCAAAGGTCTCATTTTTGCTCTTTTACAAGTGAGGAGATTGAGACATCAGTAATTCTTGAGCTATTGAATAACAGACACAGAATTTCATTTTCTTGATTTCCAACCCTGTGCTCACTTTGGCAACATATATACTGATTTCCAATCCAGTATATCACATTTTTAAAAATTATTATTATTATTATTATTTTTAGTGGAAAGGCGGATATACAGAGAGGAGAGACAGAGAGGAAGATCTTCCATCCGATGATTCACTCCCCAAGTGAGCGCAATGGCCGATGCTATGCTGATCCGAAGCCAGGAGCCTCTTCCAGGTCTCCCACGTGGGTGCAGGTTCCCAAAGCTTTGGGCCGTCCTCCACTGCTTTCCCAGGCCACAGGCGGGGAGCTGGATGGGAAGCGGGACCACCAGGATTAGAACCGGCGCCCATATGGGATCCCGGGCGTGCAAGGCGAGGACCTTAACCACTGCACCATCGTGCTGGGCCCCCATTATTTCTTACAACTACATAAATTTACCTGTGTAAGTGACAAATGAAAAATGAAAATATTGTGTAGATGTAATTGAGTTGGGGGTACGTGCTATAAATTGCATGCTAATGGGACATCCCTTAAGCATTCTCTACTTTCTAAACTTTTGTTTGTTTAGTTTATTTTTTTAAAGAGAAATTTTGTTGGCTGGTTCATTCCCCAAATGACTGCAAAGCTGGACCAAGGCCAAAGTCAGATTAGGATCCAAGAATTCATTCCAGATCTCCCATGTGGGTGAAAGGAACCCAATCACTTAAGCTGTCACCACTGCCTCTCATGATTTGCATTGGCAGGAGGCTGGAGTCAGAAGCAAGTCTGGGAGGATTGGTGTGATAGCTCAACTGATTAATCCCTGCCTCAAGCACCAACATCTCATAGGGTCACCAATTTGTGTCCTAGCTACTCTACTTCCCATCCAGCTCCCTACTGGGAAAATAGCAGAGGATGGCTCAAAGCTTTAGGACCCTGCACTCATGTGGGAGACCCGGAAGAAACTCCTGGCTCTTGGCTTCAGATTGGCTCAGCTCCGGCTATTGTGGCTATACGGGGCGTGAACCAATGCATAGAAGATCTTTCTCTCTGTCTCTTCTTCTCTTTGTAAATCTGCTTTTCCAATAAATAGAATAGATCTTTAAAAACTCAAGTCTGGAATTGAACCCAGATATGCTGATGTGGGATGTAGGCATCTTAATCACGTGGTCAAAAGCTCATGCAAGCAGTATTTTGGTAGAGGTCAATGTTACTAGCCTACAGCTTCTCTACAGATCACCCTCATTGATGATGGGGTCGCATGCTGATAAACTCATCACAAATTGAAAATATTGTCATTTAAAAATGCATTTATTCAGCCTAACCTACACAATATCATACTGTAACACGGTAGAGTGTCAACTATTTCCCCTCTATGTGATGATAGTTCACTGCCACTGCTCAGCATCACAAAGGTGCAAATCGTATATTGCTTTTGTGCCAGGATGAAGTGTAGAAAAAAAAAAGCCACAGGTTGAACCATTGTGAAACAGGATAGTCTATATTTATAAATGAGGATATGAAATACTGGGTTCAGGCATTTGCCCTCGTGGTTAACTCACCAGAAAAACAGGCTGAGTCCCATATTGGAGTTTGATTTCCAGCTCTGGCTCTTGGATCCAGTTTCCTGCTAATGCAGACCCCATGAGGCAGCAGCAATGGCTTAAGCAAATGGGTTCCTGCCATTCACATGGGAGACCTGAATTGTGACCCAGACACTCAGCTTTAGCCTCAGTCCAGCCCTGGGCAATTGGGAAATGAACCAAAGAAAGGAAGCTGTTTCTTAGTCTCTAGTAAATAAAAAGAAAGTGAATATGAGGTATTTCCTCATTTATTGTTGTTGTTGTCACACAAGCTTGTTTGCTGCAATGGGTCAAGTCTTCCACTCTTGCACTCCAACACAGGACCCATGACTCTTACCCTGCAGTGCTCTTTCAGCACAATCAGTGCAGGTGAGACAGCAGGTAGTACACTTCTCATACAGGATGCAAACTTTGTCCTTTTCACTTGCTTCTTGGGTCTCAGGGCAAATTGACATTAAAGAAATATTAAAATACAGATTCATGACTGACTGGGAAAGGAAGATGCAGTATGGCTGATTCTGGCTCCAATCCTGGGCCTCTGCCTTATGTCCAAGACAAGCCAATGGTCAGGCAGTGGGTATGGGTTGCTAGTTGTTCATCCAAGGAAACACCCTCCTCCTTCTTCCTCTGATCAGGGGAAACTGTATTGAGCTAAGATTATCCTCCTTTAATATTTTTTTCTCCTACTAAAAGTTTTGTGTTAACCTCTTCAAACCTGATTGTGCTAGTTTTAGGCTCCCACACATTCTGCTTTGATCAAAGCATTTAGAATTTCTGTCAAAAATCATTTTTCATGTCAGTCATCTTCATCCTCATTGTCTTTCCCCTGAAAAAGTAGTGAGGGATGGGCTGATCTTGCCATTTCTGGAGAACAAGTCCTCGCTGAGAGCAACAGAGGAAGCAGCCTGGGGATGCCAGGCCCAGCTTCCTACAGGATTTAGGCCAGGGTGAGTGCCCCATGGCTCTTGCTGTGTCCATGCTGCTGGGGGGTGGGGCGCTGGAGGTGGGGAATAGGGGACCAGAGAATTGAGACACATCTGGGCTTTCACGCTTCCCAGGGCACTGCGAGTTCAGGCCTGCACTTCTGCTCTCAAAAGAGTAGAATTGAGTTCAAAAGTGGGCTACGTGTAGACAAGGCTGGGCGCCCCTGCTATGGAGCACAGGTGGGGCTGGTGGCTGCAGGGTAAGTACTGTCCTGTGAGGGGATAGGAAGCTTGGTATCAGCTCAGTTCTGAGCCATTTATCGTTATCCCCAAACCAACAGGAACGCTAAGGGACCCTATTATGTTAAGCAATCGCCCAGCTTCACAAAGGTCCTCCCACCAAGGCTGGCAGGTGGGTGTGTGGTCAGCTGTGCCTTAACAATGAAACAGAGATGGGAAGCTTCTTTAACCGTCCCACTCGTAGTTCACTGCCACCCAGGCAGGACATGAAGGTTCCGGCTCCTGTAGCTTAACTCACTGACTGTATTTGCCCTTGTTTACATGACAGCTGCAGATAACCTCCGAGGGCACCTTTTGGGCTAGCCCTTTCGGTTTGGAGATACGGTGGCTTGACCAGGGTTAATTTGCAACCAGTGGCGAGCACAACCCTAGCTCCTCCGTGCCTTCTTCCCCACGCAGGTGGCTCTCTCTTTTGCGACCCTATCTGGGGATTCTGGGGGAGGAGCCGAATAGGCTTGCTGCGGCCAGGAGCCGGGGTTTTCCGGGGGCGCGCCCCGGGCGGCCGTGCATTCCTCAGCAGCGGCGCGCCGCGCCCTAGTGCCGAGCCACGCGTCCCGACTGCTCCTGCGCTCAGCCGCCTGTCCGGGCGCCAAGGGGTCTGGGGTTCCTGGCGCGGGCCAGGGTCGTTTTCAGCTCCAGCGGTCCCCAGACCTGGAAGAGCGCTCAGAAATCCTGTGCCGGGAACTTTCCGCGATTCGCAGCGACGGGATCGTGAGGTTGACAGCAGCTCGGCGATCGCGGTGAGTGGGACCACCGGTGTCTTTTGCGGGGCTCGGGCTGCGCGGAACGCTGTGGATTCCCGAGCTCAGGCTCACGTTGCCCCCGGGCTGGGGCCCTCCCGCAGGCCGGCCGGTGCCTTCTACTGCCTGCTTTCTTGCTTTCCTCACTTGTGCACTGTTCCTCCTCCCCGCTTTTCCTTTCTCCCGCTCCCAACCTGAGTCGTCGCCACCTCCTGCTCTTGGTCTTGGGTCCCCGGCGATGCCAGAGAAGGGTGGTGGAGTCCCAGCCCTGCCCGGAGACGGGCTTCTGCCCCGGGTTTCCTGCCGTGCCTTCTGGGAGGACGCCCCATCATCTAACCGCTCTGCCGCCCTCGGTCCTCCAGGCCCGGCGCCTGCTCCCAAGCGCAGGCGTGGATTTTGCCTGGGATGTGCACCACACAGAGTAGCAGTTGTCTGCCCTGGGTTTGGAGTCCAGACTCCTGGGCTCTAGCCTTGGTTCTGTCACCAGCTGCTTCTCTATTCTCTCTCAGCCCTGTTTCCCCATTCGTGAAATGGGGATAATATGGTTTACATAGAAGACAGATGATAGTGGGTGGGGCAGATACCTGCTTTCTGACAAGTTCTGTCCTCCTTGGGGGCTACCTCTCTCTCCTTTACCTAGGACTTAGTCGTTGCAGTTACGAACTTCCTCTACCCCTCCACAGCCACAGCCCTGCCCTCCTATTTTTCCAGGGAAGAGACTGCTAAAACCTGGCAAATGAAGGGTGCCCACTACATGCTCACATCCCCCGTAAAAACCTCGATGGGGGTCGTTATTCTGAACAGCTACGCAGCATCTGGGGACTGCTGATTCTCCTCTCTTCAGACAATGACTCTAAGGCTTGGGAGCTCTGGGTCAGGGAAGTGACAGCTGCTCTCACATGCCATGTTAGGCATTCCTTGAACATTTGCAGTAATCTCTGGGCTAGGAGAGTGGACCAGGATGGTGAATGCCAGATGGGGGTAGGAAGATCCTGTGAGTTATCTGTTTTGTGATTATTTTTCAAGATTTAACATTTATGGGCCTGGCGCGGTGGCGCAGTGGTTAAGGTCCTCGCCTTGCACGCCCGGGATCCCATATGGGTGCCGGTTCTATCCCAGCAGCCCTGCTTCCCTTCCTGCCTGTGGCCTGGGAAAGCAGTGGAGGACGGCCCAAAGCTTTGGGACCCTGCACCCACGTGGGAGACCTGGAAGAGGCTCCTGGCTTCGGATCGGCATAGCATCGGCCATTGCGCTCACTTGGGGAGTGAATCATCGGACGGAAGATCTTCCTCTCTATATATCCTCCTTTCCAATAAAAAAATAATAAAAATAAATCTTAAAACAAACAAACAAACAAAATTTAAAAAAAAAGATTTAACATTTATTTGAAAGGCAAAGTGACATAGCGAGAAAGAGAGATCTCTCTGTTGGTTGAGAGAGAGAGAACTCTATCTGCTGGTTCACCCCCCAAATGACTGCAAAGGCCAAGGCTGGATTTCACAGAAGCCAGGATCCTAGCACTCATCTGGGTCTCCCATGTGGATGGCAGTGGGTCCAGGTACTTGGGCCATCCTCTGCTGCCTTCCCAAGTATGTTAGCAGGGGGCTAGATCAGAAGCAGAGCAGCTGGGACTCCAAACAGCATCCAGATGTTGGTGGGGCAGGCCTTGGCCTAACCTGCTGTACCACGACTCTGGCCACTGCTCTGAGCCTACTGACTGAGGCGTTTCCCTGCTCCGGGCCTCTGCAGCATGAGGAGAGGGGGCTGGACAGGTGAGTGTTTGCTTTGGAGTAGATACAGCAAGCTCTTTAGGCTCGCCAGGGCACTCATCAATATGCTGGACACTGGCGAGACAGCCCAGCCACATTGCAGGAAATAATGCACCACTATACAGAGAGTGGAAAACGCCCAGAAGTGCTTCTGTGCTGCATTGGGGACCTTCTCCTTCCAGCCGCTCTGAGGGCCATGAGTCATGCTGTGGGGCTTTACAAGTCACACTCAGCAAATGTCCCATACGCTGACCTCCTAGAGCCTCCCAAATGTGGGCTTTTGTGCACAAAAGATCTGGGGCAGCTGCAGAACCACTCGGCTGTGGTGAGACAGAGGACAAGTAACAGACTCTCGTGTCCGAGAGACGGGGTCATGACCTCAGTCGCTCTCCTGGCCATAAGCCGATTCTTCTTTTATTTCCTTTGTTGTTGTTTTCATTTTTTATTACTTAAAAAACATGCTCTGTTTCTTATCTGTGGACTCAAACATGGAAGGGACATAGCTCCAAGGAAAGAAAGTCTTTATCTTGGCTGAGACATCACACCTGCCACCACCCACAGTTGATAGGCGTCAACCTTGGCATTGCCACGTCCTGCAGTGCCCCCTCCCTGCCTGGCCAAGTGTGTGGAATGATGTAACACTAGTTACACTCATTACTTATTGGGTGCTTCCTAGGAGCCAGGTGTTATTCTGTGTTTTACAGGTATGGACTTGTTACACCTTTACCACAATCTCCTTAGAGAGGGCCTATCGTTTCCTGTATTTCACAGATGAGGAAACAGAGTCAGTCATTCATCTGAGAGTACCTGGGCAATGAGTGGCACAGCTGCAGTTTGAACCCAGGCAGTTGAGCTCCAGGGCCTGTCCTCTGCACTGCGATGGGGGGAGTCAGGCTTCAGGTCTTGCCTCTGTTGCCTTCTCAGGAAACCCCTGTGCGGGGTTGATAGCCTCTACGCTAGCAGATCACTAGAGACCCTGATACTCATAACTTGCCAGGAAACAGTGATGCTCATGGGAAATGAAGGGCAAAGCACTGGATAGTAAGCAAGGGAAACAGGGCAGAGGTAGGAGGGTTGGCCACGTTAAAGAACAGTAAGGTGGGCCCACTATGTAGCATACACCTCAATATTCCTGGACCGTCCTGTGAGTATGAAAATCTGAGGGTGCTTGGGTCTGCAAGTCTTCACATATGCTTGAGATCATTTCTAGAGTTCTTATAATAGCTGATAGAATGTAAATGCTATGGAAATAGTTTTTAAAACCTTATTTTATGGGGAATAACAACAAGAAAAAAAGCTGTTCAGCATGGTTGCAACTGTTTTTTAAGACTGTTTTTGATCCCTGATTTGTTAAATCCATGAGGAGAAGCCACAGATACAGAGGGCTGACTGTACTTTTAAATTGCTTAATTGTGTATGGATATATCTTCTTCCTTTTGCTGATTTGGTTTCCAATTGGCTGATTGGGTATATGACTTGTTAGTGACTCACTACATAGGATCAAGGGAAATGAAATTAAGAGAGAGCAGAGACAGAGAAAACAACACTGAGGTTCCCAAATTAGCTCCAGTTTATGATAATCCATATCTGACACACCTGTCACTACCAGTCCCTACAGAGGCCAACTGCTAGTCAGTGCATCTCACTCCTACAGGCCAAGAGGCCTCCACCACGCAGTCTTCCTGACAGGCCCTACCAAGCAAGCCTTTGCTCTTCCTTGTCTCCCCACCTCATCGCCCTGGATATGGTCAAGGAAGCAACAAGTGGCAAAATAGGACATCTCTCAACCTGAGTGCCTCAAAATATCTTGGGAAATGATGCTGTTTTAAACATCATGCTTTTCTATTCATTCTTACCTGTCTTTTCTTCAGTGGTCTCCAACATAAGCCCTGCCTGGAACTGGGGCAAGAGCAGCAGGGGAGATGGGATGAGAGAGAATAGTCAGCCTTGAGAGCTGGCCAGATCTTCAGTGATCACCTTGCACCTTGTCCCTTTTCCAACCTTTCCAGTGGACCGGGTGGAGCCCTGCAGGAAAAAGTGATTTACTCAGCATCCAACAGCATGTTCATTTTTTAATGTTGTCTAACAATTTACTGTAAATTTGATAGTTTTAAATATATAGATATATATATATATCTATGTATATATCATAGATTGAAATCTAGAGTAGGTCTCATGAGAATAAAGCAAAGTGGCATTAGGCATATTTCTCCCTGGAGGCTCTTGGGGGAGAATCCACTTCCTGTTTAATGGATTTGTTGGCAGAATCCACTTCTTATGGTTTTAGGACTGGAGTTGCTGGCTGGGAACTGGTGGCCATCTGGTGCTGCCAGAGGCCTCTGTCTTTGTTGGCTCTCAGCTCCCTTCCTCTATCTTCAAGCCAACATTTGCAGATGAGGCCTTTGTGTCCCATCTCTGTGGTCCTCGCTGCTGGCCTCTTGTGCCGAGATGAGGCTGGGCCCTCCTGCATATACTCGGGGTAATCTCTTCATCTCAGATTCCTTATCTTGAATCACAGTCCTGGGTTTCATGGCTCTCTCTAAGTCATGTTTCCTTTCTCAGTCAGGGCATGGGCATGTTTGGGGGTGATTTTTCTGCCTGCCCTCTGAATGAAGCCTTCTCTGGGAAAATGGGCTGCTGAGGAGCCTCAGGGTGCTGGGTGATTGGCGTCACTCCAGTGGCTCTGTCCTGCATCCCACTGACAGACCTTGTCTTGGAGCATCTGCTTTGTCAGTCCTGCACACAGCAGCACTTAGTCACTGGCAGGAGACCATGTCGCATGTGATGCGTGGCGGGGGCTTAAACAGGATGCTATGTGTTTGGCCTGGGCTTTCTCTTCTGCAGGCTCTGCTGCATTCTAAGATGCTGGGATTGGCTAGGCTGTGTGGGACGTGCAGTCTTGAAAAGCTCTGGCTGCTTTAATGATCTCTCTGAAAGATCTTGGTGTTTTTCCACGTTTCCAGCCACAGAGGAACAGACTGAAACTCAGACGGAGAACAAGTCTTTAGCTCATTAGGAATTTTAGAAGAGATGGAGGCCTGATGTGAAATGAGTATATAGGACTCCCTCAGGGACCTTGGGTCATAGGAGAAAGGGCTTTGATGTAGCTCTCAATTTAGATAGTTTGTGTGCCCGGCCTGCTCCTTCTTTGGGTCCCTTATTTGGAACAAAGGTCCTGGGTGAAATGACATGCTGATATGGGAAACATTTTTGCTTTAAATTAAAAATGCT